AAATTTAAAAAAAAGTTAAAAAAAATTAACTGAAAGACTAAAGAATCATGGTAAAAAAGCCATGAATTCTATGTGCAGTATTCCCCTAGCGCTGGGTTTCTGCCATTCTCATTGATCAGTAAACTTGGTCTTGGCTGGTGGTTCTTGCTGATATTCTGGGGGAGGGGCCTGTTGCCGTGGTTCCCAAAGGTCTTTGCTGGAGGCGGAATTGCCCCGCTCTTGCCTGGTCCAGGCTAAGTAATCTGCTCGGGTTTGCTCTCGGGAGCTTTTGTTCTCTGCAAGCTCTCCGTACAGCTTTGGAGGATGAGAGTGAAAATGGCGGCCTCCCAATCTCCGCCCGGAGGAGCTGAGAACTTGGGGCTCCACTCCTCAGTGCGCCCCCAGAGAAAAAGCAGTCACTCCCATCTCCCCGGTCTCCGGCCGCACTCCGTGCTCACCTGGCCTGTGATCGAGCGTTTCTATCTCTGGCACCCGACCCCATGTGGAATCTCCAAACCCAGCAGATCCCTGCGGTGCGCTCCTGCGCCGCTCCTCCCCGGGGGAGGAAGGGGAGTCTCCTCGGATCTGCCGCTTGTTGGGTCCCTGCTGGAGGAGCAGTGGCCCGACTGGGCCGCGGATCACAGTTTATGGCAACCCCGAGCTGAGAGCCCGCGCCTCGGCTCCGTCTCTGCAGCCGGCTTTCCCGCTCCGATCCCTGGGAGCTCTGGCGCACTCAGGCACCCCCGGTCTTTCTGTGACCCCAAGGGTCCTGAGACCACACTGTCCCGCGAGGGTTCCACCCCCTGCTTAGCCGCTGGAGCGACGTCCCTCAGCAGAGCCCACTCCTAAAACTTCCGATTTTGTGCTCCGTGGCTCTAGCACTTGCCAGAAGCGGCCGGCGGAGGCCCCTCCCCCGCCGTCTATCCTCCCGAATATCGCCTCGGATTCACTTCTCCGCACGCCCTACCTTCCAGAAAGTGGTCGTTTTTCTGTTCAGAGAGTTGTTGCTATTCTTTTCTTCGATCTCCTGTTGAGTTCGTAGGTGTTCAGAATGGTTTGATACCTATCCAGCTGAATTCCTGAGACCAGACGAAATCTAGGTCTCCTGCTCCTCTGCCATCTTGCTCCGCCCCCTTCTAAAGTTAAGGAATTTAATGAGCATAAATTGAGGGTGAATTAGGGCACCTAGGTGGCTTAGTTGGTTAAGCGACTGCCTTCAGCTCAGGTCATGGTCCCGGAGTCCCGGGATCGAGTCCCACATCAGGCTCCCGGCTCAACGGGGAGCCTGCTTCTCCCTCTGACCTTCTCCCCTCTTATGCTGTTTCTCTCTCTCTCTCTCTCTCAAATAAATAAGTAAAATCTTTAAAAAAAAAATTAAGGGTGAATTAATTTAATGCTGAGACGCCTGTTAGTTTACAACCTGATATGAACATGCTTTGATAATGTGAACAAGATTCATATTTTCATAAATTGATGTTATATTCACTTTGTAGACCATTTCCAACTTTAAAAAATATTTCTCAGTTGTAATCTCTCTTGAAGCTTTCTTTATGTATAATCTATTGTCTCTCTTCACTTGCATTGAGGTATAATTATAAAGTCATGAGATAGTAAAGTATGCAGGATGATGACTTGATATTTGTATACATTATCGACAGCTTCCCCTCACCCACTGCCCCACTGAGTTAGCACATCTGTCACCTCACAATGACGGCATCGTCAACTGTAGTCACCACGGTATGTAATAGATACTCAGACCTTACTCAGTTTATAATTGACAGTTTGTATCCTTTTACCAATGTCTCCCTGTTTTCCTCACCCCTGAGTTCCTGGTAACTGCTTTTTTACTCTCTTGATTCTATGAGTTCAACTTAAAATTTTCTTTTTTAAGATTTCCCATATAAGTGATATGATGCAGTATTTGTGTATCTCTGTGTGGCTTTTTTCCTTAGCATAAGGCCCTCTAGCTTCATCCATGGGTTTGCAGATGGCAGAATTTCCTTCTTTCCCATGGCTGAGTAATATTCCATTGTGTGTGTGTATCTGTGCTGTATATCACACATGCATCACATACATATCTCATATTTTCTCTATCCATTCATCCATCAGTGGACACCTAGGTTGTTTTCATATCTTGGTTATTGTGAACTTAGGAGCACAGGCACCTCTTAGATAATGATTTTGTTCCTCTGGGCATGAACCCAGAAGTGGGATTGCTGGATCACATGGTATTTCCAGTTTTAACTTCCTGAGGAACCTCCATACTGTTTTCCACACTGGCTGTTACATTCCCACTAACAATGTTGAAGCGTTCCCTTTTCTACATATTCTTGCCAGCATTTGTTATCTTTTGTCTTTTTTTTTTAAGATTTGTTTATTTTAGAGAGAATGAGAGAGAGAGAGAGCACAGAGGGGAGGAGCAGAGGCAGAGGGAGAAGCAGACTCCCTGCTTGAGTGTGGAGCCCGACACAGGGCTCGATCCCAGGGCCCTGAGATCACAACTCGAGCTGAAGGCAGACGCTTAAACGACCAAGGTGTGCAGGCACCCTGGCTGATAAAAAGAAGAATAAAGTTGGAAGAGTTACATGCCGCCTGACTTTACAAACTTAGCACAGTAGTCAAGACAGTGCAGTATCAGTGGGCAGACACATAAGTCAGTGGAATGAGATGGAGAAATAGATGCCTAAAACTATACTCAATTGATTTTAACAGGGGAGCAAAGTCAGTTTAATGGAGAAAAGGTAGTCTTTTCATTAGAAGATATTGGCAGTTAGTTGGCCATCCATATGTGAAATAAAAAAAAGAAGAAAGAAGACAAGAACTTCATTTTTAAGCCTCATACCTTCTACAAAAATGTTAATTCAAAATTGATTCTAGATCTAATAACATAGACTATAAAACTATAAAACTTTAGAAGAAATCGGGAGAAAATCTTCATGGGTTAGGCAAAGAGTTTTTAGTTGATTCTTAAAGCATGATCCATTAAAGAAAAAGTTGATATGCCAGACTATCAAAATTAAAAATGCTCTGTAAAACAAAATGAAAAGCCATGGTAAGATTAGGAGAAATTATTTGCAAATCACATATCTAATGTGTATCCTGAATATACAAAGAACTCTCAAAATTCAGCAGGAAGAAAGTAAACAACCTAAGTGAAAAATGGGCAAAAGACTTGAATAGAGACCTTATACCAAAGTATATATAGATGGATGAGAAATAAGCATGTGAAAAGACATTAAACAGGGACATACAAACTAAAACTGTAACGAGGTACCACTACACGCCTATTGAAATGGCCAAAATTGTAGTAACACCACGTGCCATGGACAGCTAAAACTCAGTAGTGACACAGCCACCCTGGAAGACCATTTGGCAGTTTCCTGTAGGGTTACAACTACACTTCCTCTACAACCCCATAATTACACTTCAAGGTATGGACACTGGAGAAACAGGCTGTGTTCACACAAAAGCCTGTATGTGAGTGTTTATACCAGCTCCAATTATAATTGCCAAAAAACTGGAAACAACCCAAGTGTCCTTCAACAGGTGATTGGATGAGCAGCTGTGGTACATCCACACAGTGGGGTACTACTGGGCAATAAAGAATGAACTACTGGGGCGCCTGGGTGGCTCATTCGGTTAAGGGGCTGCCTTCGGCTCAGGTCATGATCCCAGGGTCCTGGGATCGAGTCCCACGTCGGGCTCCCTGCTCAGTGGAGAGAGCCTGCTTCTCCCTCTCCCTCTGCCTGCCTCTCTGCCTATGTGTGCTCCCTCTCTCTCTCTGTCAAATAAATAAAATCTTTAAAAAAAAAAACTACTGATACAGAAATATCATGGACAAACCCCAGAGACATTACAGTGGCATCATTAAAGTCATATAGAGTAATTAAAACAGTGTGATGCTCTAACAAGGAGAGACACAGAACAGGATAGAAAGCATAGGGCAGAACCTTCTAGCCTATGAAAAAGTTAATATTCTGAGTGAAAGAAGCCAGTCTCAAAAGAGTGTGTACTATATGATTCCATTTATGTGACATTCTCAAAAAGACAAAGCCACAGGGAGGCCAGTTAGTGGTTTCCAGAGGTTGGAGGTGGTGGGAGGAGGTGACCACAAAGGATGTCACGAGGAGTGTTTGGGGTAATGGAACTGTTCTGTATCCTGATTGTGGTTGTGTTACACAGATCCAAAGAAGTGTTAAAATTTGTAGACTGACTGACTCTTGGTAACTTAACAAAATAAAATTAAAAATTATCTGTATATAATTTTCACATGTGTGCATGTGTGTGTATGTGAAGAAGAGTCCTTGAGGATAAGCTGCCAAGCAAACAATGGTTCCTTTTGGATGCTGGGTTTACTCATGACTTTTATTTTTGTTTGTGCTTTTCTGAGTTTTCTAAATTTTTCCATACTAAACATAAACTACTTCTGTAATAAAAACCGCCTGAAGTTACTTAAGAAAAAGCCCTTCTGGTCTTCCCTGCACGCTCCCTGCACACTCCCTGGTTCAGACACAAAGGCTGGCTTCTTGGGGCTGCTACCAGCCCCCGCTCCCCATCTCAGGCATCACATGCCACCTGTCCGCTGCGGTCTGAGGGTGTGAGGTGGCGTTAAGCTGCTCTTACGACTTAAGTACCACACGAACCTCCGTGGCACGCCTGCTTTAATGTTTCATGTTTTTAAGAAGTGATCTCAGTCAACTTACAGGGTTATGAAAATTCTGAGAATACCCCAGAGGCCAGATTTATATGGTTTGACAGTGAAAACTCCGCAGTGTTTCGGGGCTGTTAAAAATGGAGTCGCAGCTGACTTGGGCTGAGAGAGATGGTGAGAGGGAAGGTCTCTCCTGTCGGCCGGGCCCAGTTGTGAACCCAGTGCAGTGTGAGCTGGTGTGACTCCACCCCAGGCTGGGGTGGGGACCAGCGACGCCACTGGTGTGGGTACAAGGTAAGTCCTCCCAGACCGTCTGTCACAGGCACGGGCCTCAGTCACCATGTCCCCTGTGTGTCTCCCTCCTGTGCAGTTTGAGTTCATGATTGAGTCGATCCTGTACGCCCGGGATGTGTGGCTGAAGGAGGATGGGGTCATCTGGCCGACCACGGCCGCGCTGCACCTGGTGCCCTGCAGCGCAGACAGAGACTACCGCAGCAAGGTGCTCTTCTGGGACAATGCCTACGAGTTCAACCTCAGCGCCCTCAAGTGAGTGCGGCGGGGTGCGCGCCCGCGTGTTCCTGGCCGCCTGGCTGGGTGCGCCACCGGCTTGCTAGACACAGAGTGACTGCTCTGTTGTAGGGCCTGCCACGACACGGATCTGAATTCATTCACAGGCCTAAGAACTTCACAGGTTGGCTTTCATGCCTTCAAACTGGTAATAGATGTGATGGGAAATGACAAGGCTTTTGTAGTCTAAGTTCTCAGATATCATGGGGAGAATGTCATGGTTAGAAACAAGGCCTTTCTAAATATGTGGTCTGTTAAGACACAAATACATGTTCGTACTAAGAGCTATTCATTTTTTTTTTTAAAGATTATTTTTTTGAGAGAGTGAGAATGAGAGAGAGAGAGCATGAGGGGGGGAGGGTCAGAGGGAGAAGCAGGCCCCTCGCTGAGCAGGGAGCCCGATGCAGTGAGGGCCAGGTGAGCCTGGATGCCTGCTGGATGCCCAGATGGGGGGCTCTGGGCCTTTGTGGTTCCTATTAAACAATTCAAAAGACGAGATGATAATGCAAAGGTAAGAAGTCTTCCCCAGTTAACCTGTTGAAGCATTGCACTCGCAACCCGAGCCCCAGAGGGGATGGAGAGGAGGGGTCCCCGGCGGGGCTGTTCTGTCGTTTGTCTAGGGGAAAATGGGCAGGCAGGGCTGGGAGGGTTTACAGTAGAGCAGCGAGGAGGTTCCGATGTGGCCGGGTGTAATGTCTAAGCTGGAGGCACTGGGATGAAGGCAGAGTGGTCCTGAGACAAGAAAGGACAGGGCAGCAGGACGGGGTGGACACGCACAGGACGTGTGTGTGAGAGGTGGGGCAGGAGGGGCACAGGTGGCAAAGTGTTCTGGGCCATTGCTGGGCCCCTTGAAACCTCTTTCCTCTCATACTGTACATTGAAATTTAATTTCACATGGGTTTAAGAGTTTTGTCTTAGAACATGTGCATCAGGTACAGGAATCCATGGGGGCCTATGTGTCAGGCTTTAGATGGGAAGTCAACAGAAAGAAGGCAGCACTGGACTTCAGTCTATAAAAATTGACATCTGTGTGTCAGCAGCATAAATACAACTCAAAAAGGCGGCGACTGCTTAGAAAAGTTGCTAGCTGACGGATCCTAGAGTCAGAAAAAGATGTATGTCCAGTGAAATTATAGCCAAGTCACAGGAATAAGCAAGTCACAAAAACTAAATAAAGTCACCATTTAATATTTGAAAGAAATCGCAACATCATTAGTGATTAAATGCAAATTAAAATAAATGCCATTTTTGCCTACCAGACGAACAAAGATTAGACAGCAGTTGATGCTGTCAGCTTCAGGTGAGACGGGACGAGCCCGTGTGCCCAAAGCTGTGGGTGTGGGGGGCCCTGCAGGCTGGTGTCCGGCGTCCACCCCTGTCCCTGTCTGTCCCGATGCCACGGCGTGCTCCCGTACACACGACGTGGGGAACAGACAGCGTTCCAAAGGAACGTGGCTGGGTTGCTGTATGTCCACCCGATGGATTAAGAGATGGTGAAAGTGGTAGGACACAGACCATGTCTACAGAATGGCTTCTACTTTGCATAAAAACATATATGAATATATGTCCGGGGGAGAAGATGACTAAATATATCAAGGGCATGGGAGATTCAAGTTTTTTCTTTGTACTTTTCTATATTTTCCTAGTTCCTTATATGTGCATAATTACTTTTATCAGAAAATATTAAAAATATGTCCATATCGTGGCATCTTTATTTAAAATGTTGACTTTTAATTACTGTTTCAGAAGTTAGCGCTGTGCTTAATTTTGGAAGCATTTCTGTGGTAGATGGTAGGTGATTGGGCAAGCGCAGCGTTCAGCAGTGGAACGGACGGGCGTTAGACGGGGTGACGGCAGGACGACCATGCAGGGCTCAGCGCCTGTATGCAGGGGCTCCTCCTGAGAGTCGGGCTCTAGGGGGGCCTGCAGGCTTGCTGGCTCAGTACGTTTCTTCCCCGGTCATCCAGAACAGGAGTATCTTATTTGCTGTGACAATCTTCGGTCCGGTCCTCACCTTCCTACTCTGTGAGGTGATGAAGTGTCCACATAATGAGGGGAAGGCAGGCGAGGGACCCGTGGGAGGCTCCCATGGACCTCCTGTCTACGTGTCAGGAGGAGGGCCTCGGAGTGGGTCTGGGCACTGCCCGTGTGGGAAAGGCTGGTTTCTGTGTGTGTTCAGGCCCCGTGAGGAGGATGGAGGTAGGAGCCCTCCAGCCCTGCCTTGGTGCCCTCGTGCTGCAGGCCGTGGCTTGGAATCCCTGCTAGTGCTGGAGGGAAAGAGCGAGTGCTGTGGTCGTGCGTGTGTGTGTCACGGCCGGAGATGTTGGTACGCGCCTCAGAGCAGTGCCTTTGACTCTTTCCCTAGATCTTTAGCAATTAAGGAGTTTTTTTCGAAGCCCAAGTATAACCACATTTTGAAACCAGAAGACTGTCTCTCTGAACCATGCACCATATTACAGCTGGACATGAGAACCGTGCAGATTGCTGACCTAGAGGTGAGAGAAGATGCGCGCTTCCCTTTCACATTAAGTAAGCGGCACACACACGCCGAGACTTCCGTGTGAATGTTATGAACTTGCCTTTGATTTTCCCAGAGTCTTTTCTTTTTTATGCTCTGATTTTGTATCTTGTATTTTACATTATTTTCTTTATTGCTAACCTCTTTAACATCATCAGTTCTTCTTAGATATATGTTTAATATTTTCAGCATCTTCAGATTCTAATAAATTATATCCAGTTTCTTCAAGGACTTTCAATTAAAATTTTTTTCGCTACTGTTGATGACAGAATTCTTAATTCTTACTTTTACTTACTCCCTGTTGCCACGAGGTGGCGTGTGTGGATTCCGGAGGATCTCATTTTAAGGGTGTGCTGGGAGGTGCAGGTGCAGGAGAGTGTGGGGGTCACTGGAAGCCCCTGCTGGGGCTCAAATGGGCAGAACAACGTAGGGACTGAGCTCTTGACTCTGCACTTAGTTTTGCAGAATAGAGACCCAGCCTGGAACTTTATTGATGCAAGGAATTGAGAAGAAATAGTATTCCACTCAAATTTGGGCAAATGCCCAAATTGCTTGAAACCTTTTCTGATTATCTGCAGCATTTGAATTTATGATGCCAGTTTTAATACTTTCTGGAGGAAGAAATTTTATGTGGTGTTTGCTGTGTTCAACTAAACTAGCAAGTTGCAGTCGTAATTACTGAACTAGACGGTAGGGCTGCTGAGTGCAGTGCAGGGAGGTGGGATCTGTGAGGTGGGGCCAGGCGGAGGACAGTTGCTAGTTCTTGTTCAGGGAGACCCTTGCAGCCTGGCGTCACGTGCTTGCGGAAACCATGTCCCTTTCTTATCGTTTGCTTGAACAGACAATGAAAGGTGAGCTGCACTTTGAGATCAGGAAAGCCGGCACTCTGCATGGATTCACAGCCTGGTTCAGTGTCCGGTTTCAGAGCCTGGAGGAGGATGAGCCCCAGCTGGTGCTGAGCACGGGCCCATTGCACCCGTGAGTGTGCGCCTCCCGTGGGGGCTCCACACAGCAGCCCCGGAGGAGCGGATGCGGTTGGCCTGCCTGCGAGTTGTCAACATGGCAGCCATGTGCAGAGATCTGGCAGTGCTGGCTCGTTAGCCTGGGCTCTGCAGACCGTGCTGCCCTGGGCCTTGAGCAGGGTGTGCGGGCAGAGGGCCGGCGAGCCCAGGGCTGTGCCCCACCCGCCCGTGCACTGGGCTTCCCTGAGCTGCCCTCTGACCCCTGCATACATAGGAGGAGCAGACTTGGGCTTCCTCAGTTGCCCTGGACGCTGCTTTAGCTTCCTATGGTCTCATACAAACACAGTCCACCAGAGTTCTAGGGGCTTTTAACTCAGACTTTCTGGGGGAAGGTCAGTGCCTCTTGAGACAAATCTCTTAAAAAAAGATTTTATCTATTTGTCAGAGAGAGCACGAGCAGGGGTAGGGGACAGAGGGAGAAGTAGGCTCCCTGCAAAGCAGGGAGCCCAACGTGGGGCTTGAACCCAGGACCCTGGGGACCATGACCTGAGCTGAAGGCAGACGCTTCACTGACTGAGCCACCCAGGTGCCCCTTGAGACAAATATTTTTTTGCAGTAACATTTTGATGCTGCTCACTTGCTTGAGCATCCTGGGAAGCTGACGTCTGCTTCTGTGCTGGACACAGCAGCCCCCCCTGGAAACGCTGACTTCCTCTGGGGCCTTTGTTGTCCTGTTCAGTAACTGCCCTGGACCAGGGGGGGTTGCAGCAGCATCTGGGTTAGATGCTGGCTGTGGCAGTGGGCCCAGAAGGACCCCAGATGCCCTTCGGTAAAGCGGGGGCAGAGCCGAGGGGCTGTGTGCTCCGAGTGTCCTGTGGAGGTGGCAGGGCTGGGGCTCCGGCCAGCCTTCCTTCCAGATCCAGCCAGCACAGATGTGAGCTGTCACCAGATGAGGGTAGGAACACGAGAAACCCAGTGGACAGTCGTGTGCCTGGGTAGTCTTCCCCCAGTGTGTCCACACACAGGTGGGGTGGGGCAAGCAGGGTGCAGACATGGGACAAGCGCTCTGTGAAGGCAGAGAGAGACTCTCACAGTGGGTGAGGCAGGAGGGAGGGTAAGCCGGTGAGCGTGACCGTGGGGTGCACGCAGGTGTCGGGCAGAGGCAGTTGTGCCATGCTCTCAGAGCCGGTAGAACCTAAAAAGCTTGGGAGTTGTGACCATTTCTCCCAAATGTTACAGTTGTCATGCTTACCTTCCGCCTGACTCTCACAGGAATAATCACTTTTTTGGACTGCAGAGACTAGATCTCGGGCATTGGCAGCTTAGAGACCAAGCAGGGAACTTTGGGTAGATGCCCACTGTGCCAGGGTGTAAGGGGCCTGTGCCCGGCCATGTGTCCTCTGAGCCACCAGCACCAGCTGCCCTCACCCTCCCGGAATCTGGGCAGCATCCAGGAGCTGCGTCCACCCTGGCTTGTAACTCAGTCCCTGCAACCCACAGAGGCCGTCCGGGTCGTAGGGCTGGGGTGCGTCTGTCCCGCGTGCGGGTAAACCTGAAGAGTCCGGCTCCAGAGAGGTGACCCCATGCCCCGTGTCTTGCAGCACCACCCACTGGAAGCAGGTGCTGTTCATGATGGACGAGCCTGTCTCCGTCCTCACGGGAGATGTGGTCACAGGCTCGGTTGTGTTGCAGAGAAACCCCGTGTGGAGGAGGCACATGTCTGTGGCGCTGAGCTGGTCCGTCACTTCCACACAAGACCCCACATCGCAGAAAGTAAGATACTTAGCTGTCAAGTCAGGTGCTGGGGCGCTGGTCCTAGGAGACGGGTCTGGGGTGATCCCACGGCCAGACCACACGGCCTCCTCTGCTGTGTTATTTTTCTGACCCTCCTGATGGGAAGTGAATGCTGTCACTTGCAGAACAGGAATCAGAGGGCGAGGAGGTGAGTCTGTGAGGGCAGAGGCCCAGCCCAGCCAAGGTCCACCCTTTGCGTGTCCAGGAGGCCCCGGTGAAGAGCCGGGGCTGGGGGCCGGCCCACTGCCGGTGGTGCGTGATGTAGGCGTGTGGTGTGGGTCACCTTCCCACCGTGGCAGCGGTTCGAGGGCTGAGGAACCATCCCGCCCACGGTGAAACTGTGGCCAGGTGGGGCCCGGGGCCTGTGTCTCACAGAGGCTGCTGACAGGGGAGTCTCATGGGGTAGTGTACGGCAGAAAAAACCAGAGGGCTTCTCCCTATGTTTTAATACCTCTTTTATACTTTGTTTTATGCTAATTTTATAAGTTTCAGCGTTTGTCATTAAAAAAATTTCTGCACCTAAATGTTCTTTTGTAAAATATTAAGTTGTTATTAGGAAGTACTGCATGTTAATCATACTGAAATGATTTCTGATTTGATTGCTTTGTTTTCTTTGTCTTTTTCAGGGTGGAGAAAAAGTCTTTCCCATCTGGAGATGACAGTTGAAGTTCTGTGGGAAGCAGTGTGCAGACACTGCGGGAATGAACCCGCGCGAACGAAGACGCACTGGGACGGGGGCCCACGTTCTCGCTGCCCGCGTCTGTGGGCTCGGGCCCGTGGTCAGGGTCGTCCACCGACGGCTGCGCTGTGCTGGGCGGGAGCCCCCCACCGCCGTCACTGCCTGTGTCCGTCCTCTAGAAGTAGGCTGTGTCTCCAGGTGTCCACAGTGCTGGCTTGTGGGTGAGTCGGTGGCACAGTGTCCCTAGCTAGGTCTAGTTCTAAACTCGTAGGACACACACGCATCAACCTCGTACTCCTGTGAAAGTGGCTGTTCACGCATCATGTGTCATGGTGTCCTTTGCTGCCCTGGTTCCTCCCGCACCGTGCGGAGTGTGGGGTCCCAGCAAGCCGTGCGGGACCTGCAGCTGGAAACGCATGTGACGGGACTCTGCATGTAGTACAGTTGTAGAGATGTCTTCCAGATAAATTATGTGTTGGCACATAGCACATGCCCAATAAATATTTTTAAATAAATGAATGTTGGTGTGTATCCCATTTCTGTGCACACACGCTCTGTTACAAGCATGGGGTCGCACTGTTGGCACTGCTTCGTAACCTTTCTCCTCTAGCCTGGAGGGACGGGTCTGCAGTTTTTTGTGTGTATTGTTTTGATTTTTAGTTAACTTTTTATTGAAATATAAGATATATAGCCCAAACCGCATAAGTCATGAGTGCACAGATGAGTGAAATTTCACAGAGTGGACATCCGTGTAACAGCGCCCCTTGCACTCGGTACCTCCCAAGGGTTGGTAATGCCGAACTTCTGACACTATAGATTGCTTTTGCCTGGTTTTGAGCATTGTGTGAGTGGAGTTACAAGTTGTCTGTTTTCTATAGACTGTTTGTGTCCTCCCCAAATTCCCAGGTTGAAAACGACCCCCCAAGGTGATGCTATGAGGGGGTGGGGACTTTGGGAGGTGGTTAGGCCATGGGGGGGGGGCCGCCCTGCCACCCGTGATGGGATTTGTGCCCTTCGAGGGGAGAGTCCAGAGGGCGGCTCGCCCCTGCCCCGGCGGGAGGACCCAGCAGAATGTGGCGTCTGGGAACCAGGAAGCGGTCTCTTCAGACACCAGATGTGCTGGGGCCTTGATGTTGGACGTCCAGCCTGCAGACTGTGAGAAAGAAGCTGATGTACGGTCGGCCAGGTCGGCGGTGGTACAGTGTGGGAGCCTGTGCAGTCTGAGGGTCCGTTTGTGTCTGCGTCCCTCAGCCCCCATTACATGCGGGAGACCCGCCCGCAGGTTGTGTGCAGTGCCCTGCCGTCCGATGTGCCATAGTTCACGTCTTCTTACCCCGTGCTGGACAGCTGGCTCGTTTCCCATGACCAGCTGCCGTGAGGGGTGCACGCACGTATGTGCACACCGAGCTCGGCTTCACCAGGAACGGCCAGACCGCTTTTCAGACGTGCCTCCTCGCGGTCATGCGCGGGCCGGCGCTGCACACCCTCAGCCCCTGCTGTTGTCTGTGGTTTGTCTTTTGCCCGTCCTGGTGGGTGTGTGGATGTAGTGGGCGGTTGTGTTTCTCATCAGTTGTGCAGGGGTTCTTGAGATAATCCCGCTAGGAGTCCTTCGTAGGTTTGTTCTGTGAACATTGACTCTGTGCCTTGTTCTTCCCTCTCTTTAGAGTATTCTAGGGCGCCTGGGTGGCTCAGATGGTCAAGCGTCTGCCTTCGGCTTAGGTCCTGGGATCGAGTCCCGCCTCGGGCTCCCTTCTCCTTGGGAGCCTGCTTCTCCTTCTGCTTCTCTCTCTCTGTCTCTCTCTCTCTCTCTCTCTCTCTCTCTCTCCCTCTCTCCCTCTCTCCCCCTCTGTCTCTCATGAATGGATAAATAAAATCTTTAAAAAAATAGAGTATTTTAAACAAGTTCTTAAGTTTTATTTTGTCCAATTTGACATTGTTTTCTTTTATGGGTAATCTTGCTGTGTCCTGTTTAAGGAATCTTTTCCTATTCCAAGGTCTATAAGATGTTCTGTAGTCTCTTATATAGCTTATTTTGTTTTATCCTTGGCGTGTAGATCAGCACTCCACCTGGCCTGCGTTTCTGCCACAGTTGTGAGGGAGGGGTTGAGATTAATTTCCCCCCATGAGGTAGATGCTTCAGTTGTGGATTTTCAACTTCTTTCCTTTTCTGATGCATGCACCAACACTTGACTTTTCCTTTAGAAATACTTTAGCTGCAACTACATATTTTGATATATTTTCAGTATCTCCCAGATTCAAATATTCTCTGATTCCCATTATGATTTCTTCTGTTGTACCATGGGCTACTTAGAAATTGTGGCGTAATTTCAAAAGGTGGGATTTTCTAGTTATTTTTCCTTATTAATCTCTAGCTGAATGTCCCTGTGGTCCGAGAACAACTGGAGGGATTTCATTCTCCTGAAATCTGCCGACTTGCATGTGTCAGCTGCGTTCATAAGTACTCGAGTGTGTCTCCTGTTGTTGGACACAGAGCCCTCAGCGCATCATCGAGATCAAGTCGATCAGTTGTCTTGTTCAGACAGTTGGCTTTTGACTGATACTTTTGTCTGCTTGTTCTGTCAGCCGGACTTAGACTCTCTCAGTCCGCTCAGGCCGGTGGCGGAAACGACGGTTGAGCTCTGGAGGCTGGGAAGACCAAGACCAAGGGGCCGGACAGTTTGGTTCCAGATGGCCGCCTTCTCCATGTGTCCAGGGAGAGGGAGCAGGGGCTTTCTGGTGTCTCTTCCTGAAAGGACATATCTGCCTGAGTGAGAACTGCACCTCAGTGACCTCATTTAACCTTGCTTCTTCCTTAAAGCCCCAATCTACAAATACAGTCACATTGGGGGTCAGGGCTTTGCTATGTACAGAATGTTGGTGCCCCTCCAAAACTCATATATTGAAATTTAATCCCCCCACTGTGCTGGTATGAGGAGGCGGGGTCTTTGGGAGGTGATTAGGTCTTGAGGGTGCAGCCTGCACGAGTGGGGTTAGTGCCCTCATAAAAGAGACCCCAGAAAACACCCTTGTCCCTTCCTCCACATGAGCACACAGTGAGCAGCCCGTGTGGGAACCAGGAAGCAGGTTTTCACCAGACACAAATGTGCTGGTACCTTGATGTTGGACTCCCAGCCTCCAGACTGAGAGAAATGAATTTCTGTTATTTATAAGCCCCCAAGTCTATGATCGTCTGTTATAGTGGCTGGAGCAGACAGGCCTGTGGATTTTGGAGGACACAATTCAGACCATAGCATCCTGCCTCCTGGCCCCCAAAATTCATGTACTTCTCGCATGCAAAATACATTCATTCCATCCTAACAGCCCCAAAGTCTTAACTCATCCCGGCACCTACTTCAAAGTCTACACCAGATCCTGGGGCAGAATCCCTCTCCTGTGGTGAGCTTCTAAAACGGTGATGGGGCAGGCACAGTGTGCAGACATCTGCTCCAGAGGAGAACTTGGAAGAACAACAAGGTGGGAAACCCAGCAAGCAAAATCCACCAGCTCTTCAGGATCATTAACCTTGTTGGTCGGATGCCCACTGGGGATGGGCATTGGGGAAGCAACCCACCCCGCTGCTCTAGGGGGAAAGAGCTGTGGTGGGCATGGCAGCCCTGGGGCCCTTCCCTTTCCTGGCTGGCGGGCTGTGATGTCGATCCCATGTTCTTCTGGCTTTTAACATTTGCTCTGCAGCTTTGGTCTTCAGCATTTTTATCACATTGTCTCTGTGTAAACCTTTTGAATAGTCTGGAGTTCATGAGCTTCTTGAATCTGTGGGTGGATATTATTCATCAATCTTAGTACAATCGGGGGGTTTTTGCTTTACATGTTTCTGCCCTGTTTTCTCTCTTCTCTGCATTTGGTCCCAGTTACACATCTGCTAGCAAACTGTTTGCCACACCCCACATGGCTCTGCGGTCTTCTTTATTTTTTGTTCTTCTGGATGCTCATGCTTCCATCTCATGCTGTCCTACCCTCTGTGTGATCCTGGGCTCTGGGGTGCTTCCTTGGCCACGGCCGTGGGGAGCATGGGGGCCACAGAGCCCCTGCTTGTTTTCAACACCTGGGAGACACCGAGCGGATGATGCCGACGAACTGCCAGCCCAGAGGACAGGAGCAAGGGGAGGCAGCCCTGAGCCAGCAGGACAGAACCTCCTGCCAGAGTGCCGAGTGGGGGTGCAGCTCGGAGGGGCTGCTGAGCTTACTGAGTTGTGTGCTGTCCTGGGTGTCCGTGGTCACGTGCTGAGGAAGCTGATGTCAGTGCGGCCCCTGGAGCAAACATGCAGTCGGGATGGCTGTGGACCTCGGAAAAGCAAGTGGGGATGGGTGAGCCCACAGGGGATATAGGCTGTGCCTGGGTAATGTGGCGGGGGGTGAGGAGTCACTTTGTAGGTACGGCCAGAACACAGCTTCAGAGTGTGGAGATCTCCCAGGGGGAGAGGCTGAGGCTCCAGCCCTGTGAGGACATGCAGGAGGTGTGGGCCACGCCGGGGTCCGTGAAGCCCCGTGGGGCCACTGTCATCTGGGCATGGGAGGTGAGCTTCTGCAGACTGTGAGGAGGGCCAGGCTTGGGGAGGGTGAAGGCCCTAAGTAACAGGTGAGGCACCAGCAGGGAAGCAGCTCTCTCTTCAGCTGGCTCACCTGGGGGCAGGGCCATGGCAGCATGGAATCCAGAGTCCCTCTCACCACCTACCCCTCACCACAGCCCTGTCCTAAGTGGAGAGCTGCGGGTCTGAAGGGCAGGGGGAAATTGTCAATGGTGTCTCTCTGGCTGATCCTATGACTCAAGGTTCTTGTCCCAGCTGAAGATGCTAGAATGGGGGCAGGGCTCACCAGAAGCCCTCACCATCCAGGGGCACAGAGCATGCGGCCCCTGTGCCAGGCAGGAGCCCAGGCTGGGCATAAGGGGGCTCTGTCTACCTGGCTCTCCCTTCTAATCCTAGGGCTCTCTCTCTGCAGCACATCTGGAGTCCAGTCGGGGCTCTCTCTACACATCTGGAGTCTGGCTGGGACTCTGCAGCACATCTGGAGTCCAGCCAGGACTCTCTCTCTCTGTAACAGATCTGGAGTCTAGCCAGGACTCTCTCTGCAGCACATCTGGAGTCCAGTCGGGGCTCTCTGCAACACATCTGGAGTCTGGCTGGGACTCTGCAGCACATCTGGAGTTCAGGCAGGGGCTCTCTGCAGCACATCTGGAGTCCAGCTAGGGCTCTCTCTACACATCTGGAGTCCAGCCAGGGCTCTCTGCAGCACATCTGGAGTCCAGGCAGGGGCTCTCTGCAGCACATCTGGAGTGATGAGGGAAACCTGTGGAGCTCTGACCACAGTCCTTGGAAAAGTAACTGAATGAAACACCCCCTCCTCCTTTGGTTAAAAATGTTACTACTTATCTAGATTTCAAATACACTTTTTGTCTTCAGTGAGAATATGTATAAATATTGACAAATATAAAAATGAGGATGGAACAAGTGTGTTGCTACAATACAATGTTTTAATTAGATAATAATAAGTGCAACCTA